AGTGACCTAATCAAAGTCCAACGAAATTCAGAATGAGATTTCTTCCACCAGAAAGGTATTTTTTAGCATCTCTGAGAACTGTGCAGTACAACAAGAGTTAGGAGAGAAAGGGAACATGCTGGACTGAGTAATGGCAATTGTGATGAACGTATTTCAGCTGCTATAAATATTCAACTTACTGTAAAAGGAATAAACAGCCAATATGAGGAATTATTATTTTTTTAACATCCTCCAGAGTGGTTATTTGTGAAATATGTGCTTGTTGTGTTCCACTTGCATCAAACATGTACGTAGGCAGGTATCTGAGCATCACGTCCTGCACAGGAGTTTGTGCTGAGGGAGTGTTTTTTGGTTTGGGAAAGGAGGAGTAGAGCGTGGGTTATTTTTAGGATTTTTATTCATTTTTTCTGAATAAGGATATGGAATGGTATTGAAGAAAATTGAATTTTAGAAAAACGAAACTGGGATGGCATTGAAAGCTGGAGAACATCCTTTCCCTTCCACAGCAGCAGGGAAGCCAGCAGACCCCCTCTTATTCCAGTACACTTACTCAGAGCACTAAGACTTGTGCAAATTCTTTACATGGATGTGCTTATCAAAATTTCTTCATGGAGAACATGGTCTAGCATAGGACCTGTTGGATCTCGAGAATCTGAAGTTTTTGAGCTTTCTGTGCTTCCTGCACAGACTCCCTTGAAAACACTGCACTGGACCTGAAACCTTGGAGAAGACTTGTAAATATGAATAATAAGTCAGAAATCACAAATGTGATGTGGATTAGATGTTTACATTTTCACTGGGTGATGGGTTTTAAATTTGAGGTTTTTACAGTATAGTGGTCTTTAAGGGACAAGATTGAGAATTTTGGGTGGTGTCTTTTCTTCTTGTTCATCTTCTTCTCTTCCTTCTTCACAGAACTTAGGTAGTTACCTTTGGATTGGTCAGTTGAAAGTCACTCTAAGCGTCATGGGAATCTATTATTGGGCCAAAAGTATAAATAATATAGGTGTTTTATTGGTGTGTTTAGCTTTAAAAGGCCTTCAACAATCTCAGCTGGAGCCATTTTTCCTAATTCGAGCTAGCAGGTATAGGTACTGTTGTATTTTCTGTAATTTTTAATAAGATATAATAAACATCCAAGTCCGAACACGAGAAACCATCTCTATCGCCTTTCTAATAATCTTGGCTCCGAACAGAAACAGATGATATTGATGACAAACCACTAATTAGTGGTGCAAAGCCCAGCATACTCCTACAGGACCAGGTTGCCAGGGCAATGGGGGAGACCCCACCCCTAGAAGTAAATGCAAATTACTCTTCTATTTTTGAAGGTAGGCCAAAGTTGGGATTGAGAAAGAGAGATCAAAGTAAAATGGAGCTAAATGCAGCTGAGAGAAATGTGAAACTAATTTACAAAACCCCAAGTC